GCCAATAGCTTGGACGCAATCGGAAGTAAACTTATCCCCTGATAGTTGCTACAAGAACGACGTGAACCCTTTTTAAATATAGGGACAACTATCGACTCATTCCATGACATTGGTACACTCTCTAGTTCCCAAACCTTTGTAAACAACGTCGTCAATTCCTTAGTCAAAAAGTCACCACCATCTTTAAAAAGAGCCGGAGGTAAGTCATCTGGGCCAGGTGATTTGTAACGCTTCAAGAGTTGGAGTTCCTTGCGGACTTCCTCCTCATTTGGTGGATCAGTCGTCACCGGCCATGGAGGGCAGGACAGTCTGACCGATGTTGCCGGAGCAGCAGGCCAGTTTAACTGCCCTTCGGAAAATTCTGCCCATCGTCCAAGACGTCGATGGATGTTAGTGATTGGCATCCCATCATCCTCGCAGATTGTTTCACTCACACCAGACTTCTTGCTGCCAGTGGCTCGGATGAGCTGGAAGAGCTTCCGGTAGTTACCAGATGCAGCTGCTGCTTCCAGCTCATTAGCACTCATCGACCACCAGGCTTCTCGGTCCTTACGCAAGCTTTGCCCAATTTCCTTACGTAACATCCTTCGTTTATGGTCAAACTCACGGTCATCCGGAGTAGACCGACGGGCTTCAATGAGTTGTAAGGAACCTGGAGAAACCCAGTGCTTAAAAGCGGGACGTTTCGCAAACCCACAACTGACTGTTCCCGCCATTTTCATGGCGTCATGCAATTGCAACCAATACTCATCTATACTTTTCGGTGGAGTGGTAGCTAGCCTAGAGGCTAGCTCGGTTCGATGCTTACTTGCAACAGAAGTTGCAACCAGCTTGCTAACATCAATCCGTTGATGGCGTTCACTTCGTTGTCCACTGAAAAGTAAGGCGAGAGTGGCGCAGACCAAGGCATGGTCAGAGTCCAGATAGGTACTCCAAAAGGAGCGGCAGTCTTGTACACAACCACGCCAGCGGTAGCTGATCGCGATGTGATCAATCTGAGTCCAGGCTTGAGATGCAGAGGGAGGACGCCAGGTGGCACATCGGCAATGACTGTGCCGAAAGTTAGTGCTAGCCAGAAACAGGTTGTGGTCTGTGCAAAGTTGCAGTAGACGGTCCCCGTTATCTGACCTGCGACCAACGAGTCCCCATCGGCCACCTAAACGACTCTCTTCTGTGTCTAGACGCCCGACCTGAGCATTCAAGTCTCCGGCTAATACTGCAATATCTGTCGAACGCACTTTCTGGAGAAGAACAGATAACTGGTGGTAAAACTCATCCTTGATTGCATCCGGGCTGCAATCTGTCGGGGCATAGGCGGAGATGACGAAAAGACATCGTTTCTCACGCCGATTTCTTCTCACTTTCATGGAACTTTCTAATCTAACAGCACATAACCGACTGTTAATGGGGATCCAATTGACTAGTGCTGCCTCAGCTCTAGCGCGTAGTGCGACACCAACGCCTGCAAGACCAGACGAAGATGCCACAGGTTCCCCGGATAAGCGCACGTGAAACAAGCTTTTCGAAGCGACAGATAGAGATCGAATTCGTAGTACTTCGCCAGAGTCTTGAATACGGGTCTCGGATAGACAACACACGTCAATACTAAGACTTTCCAAAGACATAGCCAGTCCTATCTGTTGTCCGACCTGCATAAATGTGCGAACGTTGAAGGCAGCCAGTTTGAATGGCGCACGTGGTTTCAGAAAAACTGCTTCAGTCCTCGTATTCGGTCGTAACATACAATTTTCAACCGGGCAGTGACTCGAGAACGATTAGATACAGTCGAATTTCCACCAAAGACGAGCCGCTGTATAAGTATAAAAGAGGGTGAGTAATGTGGAAAATAATAATAATAATGATAATAATAACAATAATGACAATAATAGTAGTAATAATAATATTAGTATTAATAATGACAATAATTGTAATGATAATAATTTGAATCAATTGTTTGTTTTTCAAAGCGAGAAAGGTAATTTCCATAGGCATAAAGAGTTCATCAATTTGTGTGTGGGCTGTGATACTGCCCGGGTGCCCAAACCGAAGCAGGTGGTTATCTTAGGGGGCCACTCCCCGAGCCTTTGACCTAAAGGTCTAACCCACAAGGCAGTGGAGCATCGTAAGGAGATGCAGTCCCATGGTAGCCGGTGACCAACGATTGGTTCATACGCCATTCGTTCCCGCAGGATACTGGAGCCCATGTGCACCATTGATTTGGAATCCGGTTAAAGCGCCGAGCATTCGCTTTCCGTCTTCTCATTTTTGTAAACAACACCCCCGCCACGAGAAGGCAATGAGTAGGACTTCCCTGGCAGAGGCTGTATACGCGTGGCCGTGTGAGAGTATTTCGAGAGGGAGAGCGGACTCTCCCCACTCTCGGCCGTACCAGGGCATTCAGGGGGGCTTTAACAAATTGCTCATAGTTATCTGTCCGAAATTCAAATAATTATCACTTTTCACGTAATAAAAATTTTCTGATAACCATTCATATGCATTAGTAATATTTTATTTTCAAACAATTCTTCTAAAAAAATGCCGTTTAATGGCAATAAAAATGTCATCTACATACCGTGACCAGACTTTTGGTGGACATGAACAACCTGTGATCGCACTGGTTTATAAAAAAGGCATAAATAAATTCAATACAATCGGAGAGGTTACTGAACCCATCGCTACATCTTTCTGTTTGTAAATGCCTCATCGAAATGTTTATAGGGTGGTTTGTAAACACAATTCCAAGCGCTTGATAATTTTGGATGGATCTAACGGACATCGTAAATCGAAATCTGAATCAGATTCTAAACCGTTATAAATAATGTCTAATGACTTACTGGTAAGTACATTGGTAAATAAGGAAGATACATCAAAACTTGCCATCATTTCATCCTCGTTACATATGTGGTATCGATATTATTCTTGAATTCCATAGTGTTTGATTCCATAATTAATCAATTTGTTAAACGGTTTAAGTTCCCTAGCTAAGTATTTCGTTAGATCGTATGTCGGTGAGTTTGCAAAATCAACCACTGGTCTTAGTAGGGCATTGTTATTTTGAATCTTTGAAAGTTCATAGGATTTACAAGGGTTACAAATTTTTGGATAGAATATGAACCATAATGACAGTCATCGTTTAGCCTTTATCGACTGTAAGATTTTACTGGTTTCAGCCTTAAGTCTATGTGACTAAATTTCAGAGCTGTTCATAACAAGGAACAAGGTACATTATCACGTGGTAGAGATAACGTTTGTGAACAACCAAGTAGATAAGAGACGAACGATAGTAGTATACATGAGGTAGCTTGTTATAAAGTTGAGTCTAGACATGAGCTGGTGACTATAGGAGGAGTATACCGTAGTCCACGTTGTTTTGTTGAAGATTTTGTCCATAATCATATCTGTAATTGGAGTAAGACTGACTGTTGTCTGCTCGTCCGATATTTCAACGTTCCACACATCAATAGGATAAAGCCTACAATTTCGGGTGGATGTTTTGATGGCAAGTTGCTGTCAAATATTCATCTCGAAACCGACAAATATCGGCTTAGGATACAACTCATCATTGCTGGACCTTGCTCTCACATGTCACCGTGATGGTATCTATGACATTCAATGCCTACCCTCACTAGAAAAGTGATCGAGTTTCACTGCAAGTTAGGTTCCTGAAACATATTATACAGTATATTTCGGCTTTCAAATTCGAGTTATTGAGATCACTGTTCATCCCATGGTCAACGCGTGTTCTATCACATCGCCCTACATAGATTGATAAGGAAACCCGAAATTTACTGAGGCGTAGGAGAAACATCTAGGACTTCTTCTTGTTAACAGGCTACTAATAACTTGTGTGAATACTGAAAAATCCGTAATCTGTATCCAAAGATCGTAGCCAAAAACCACAGCACTTACGGAAGAGAGTTGGCACGCGATAGCTGTACATTTCCAAAACGGTTGTTTTCGTACATTAAACGAAGAGCAAAACATAATGATGGAGTCCACGATTATTGTTGCACGACAATTCAGGTACACTACCTGGATCAGTTCTGGTCAAAGTTGGGACTTTATTAATCTATTTTAGTGAGGTCAGTTCTAAGGTCATTGTTAACAACACCTCTCATAACCACACCATTAACATGCCACTCATAGGAACAATATGTATGACTGAGAAGATTGTTCTTCAATCGCTCTTTAGCCTCGTAAATTATTACTAATAAGCAACTGAAGGTTGCAATGCAGAAGCCACAAAATGTTTTCGAGTGCTGTGGTCACTTCGTAGAACATCCAAATGTTTTGATGAGGTTTTTCGGGTTTTATACACCATCTATAGGAAACCAAATATGCGATACTGCCTTCAAGCGATCGGTTCATGTTTTATTAAGGATTTTCAAGCACAAGAGACTATTTAATTTGTGAGAACAAAAACAGTTGTGGGTCTTTCCGAATTCTCACACGATGAGCATTTAAAACACTTGGACCGTTTTACCTTTATAGTATAATAGGGCCCGGGGTGACCTTATTTTGGCATTCTATATCACTGACAGCAATTAGGGTGTTAACATGTCAGTCTTTTTATTCCCTCTAGAACTAATCATCCCCAGGGCCGTAAACTCAGAGTGGGGTTTCGTTGTTCTCATTTGGTGTTTAATAACTGGAATGTCCTACCCGAACAAATGATGTCAGTCCCACCAGTAAACAGTTTCAAGGAGAAGCTGAGTGTTCACTGGAAAAACAGCTGCAAAGATTAAGACAGGTCCAGCAGCCTCTGTCCTTATTGCTGAAGATTTTAGATTGACTTTCAAAACGAATTGTTAACCAGTAGAATTCCCAACCTTAGAACCTACTTGTGTCTCTATAAAAATGGTAACTCAAAGGAAAATTGGATTGAATAACAGATGATGATCTCCAGAACCTATACTAACCTTAAAGACTTCTGTTCTTCCCAAACTGGTTTCTGGCGAGCGCCTTAATTAAAGTTGGCGTTACTCGCCCTTTGTTTGTAAATGTTTACCACTAAATTCCCCAGAGGATTATCTCTTTGTGAACTACTGTATCAACCTATAAGATGGAAAGTCAGTAAGGGAACACCTGCGAGAATGACTTTCGAAATTCGGATGAAACTTGCAGAGACGGATGATCCATGGTTTCGAACCAGGCTAGTTGATTCAACTGAAGAGGTTAAACATTTATTCCTGTTATAAGTTACTGATTTTATTTTGTCATAATGATTGCCCATTTATCCTTAGGTGTAGGCTACAGGTGCTTCATACTCACTTGTTTAAGGTTGCGCCGGTGTTACACGGATTGCTCTTTAATAAATTAGGACATGGGACTTCACCAAATACATATGCGCCACACAAATCTCATTCGATATGTGTGAGGGCTGTGATCCTGCCCGGGTGCCCAAACCGAAGCAAGTGGTTTTCTGAGGGGGCCACTCCCCAAAAGGTTGAAGAAATAAATGGTTATGTCTAGCCACAGCAAACCTTTCAGAAACACTTTCCAAGTTTTACATTTCTACTTCCGTACAGTTTAGACCTTATTATATATACCAAAAGCCTGGAATTCGAGACTGCTTTAATTTTAGTGACGACATTTTAAGCCTCCCAAATATTGAAGAACAGCATTCATGAAGACGCTGATTATCTATATAAAAAAAAAACACTGACAGTCATCAAACCTTCATAAATCGGCAAGGTGCGTCGCAGATGGTCATAAAGGTTTAGCTTGGTCCAAGCAGGTACATTCATATGGATTTTGTCTAGGTCTGGAAAACAGAATGTTCTCACTCTATATCAAAACCTGGTCACTATGTCAACTATTTTTTGGTTCTAGCGCTAAATTTTAAGTGGTTTTAAATCTGTTGGTTGGAATTCTGACAAACCGAATTTTCTTAGATCTGTGGTCTAGACATGATTGTGTATACAGTTGTTATCTGTAGACAAAGGTATAAAGTGACACTGTTTGTCTTATTGTGACCGGATTAATATGGTTAATTAGCTGCTACTCTGAGGGTATTTGTTGTGTTCCATGTAGTGCTTATTTATTGTACTAACTTGGCATAATATGGTCTCTGTACCTTTCTTTCAATCTTTACTAATTTCAATAGGCGAAACATATTATGAAGAAATCAGCAGAGTTTTCTAAAGACGATGTTATTACGGTTCCTCTCGAAGATGATTTGACGCCAATAAATGGAGTCCCAAAAGAACATCAATCTGAAAGGCGTGTTAGAATTTTCATCCCAGCTAAACCTGCTACTCAATCAGGTACTCATGGCACTCGACTTTGGCGTATTGAGTTCGACAATCGCGAACGCTGGGAAAATCCACTGATGGGTTGGGCGAGCAGTGGTGACCCACTTTCAACTACAGTTGTTGAATTTGAAACTTCTGAAGCGGCGGAAGAGTTTTGCAAACGTCAGGGATGGCCATGTTACGTAGAAAGTCCAAATATTTTAAAAATGAATGTCAAGTCATATGGATCCAATTTTTCATGGAACAAACGAACACGGGTTGGATCGAAATAATGTTATCAGATTGCTCACATTTTTCTTATTGCTAACTTAATTTAGCAGCTACTTCAGTTGTGACCTATTTTATTTTGCTTGCTAATAAATATTGTAGAAATATAAATTAAGTATATATTGTTTACTTTTTGTTATTTCATAGCAAAAAGTTTCGTTTGTACTTTCTATTTCTCCGCTAATTTTGAGTAAAACACTTGAGTCGACTCCAAAGTTGTCTTATCCTTTTAATGGGATTTTTTGACAACTTCGCTTGGACAGTGGTTTGTGAGAGTAGTGGTCACTGTTTATACTAATTTCGCGTTCAAAATCTTCCATAGGTCATTGTAATTCGTATCATCATTGTTCAACTGGAACTGAGAGTGTATTTCACTGTCAGCCCTATACTTGGACTCCTGATAGAGAAGCCCTACTCACTGCCTTTCGTGCGGGGGTGTTGTTTACGAAATTGAGAAGACGAAAAGCAATGGCTCGGCCCTTTAACCAGGTTGATGGGTACGGAGGATCCACTTAGGGTAGTTGGAAAACCTTGGTTCCAAACCAGTGGTGTGCATGGGCTACAGGATCCTAAGGAAACAAATGGTGTATGAAACAATTGTTGGTCACCGGCTACCATGGGACTGCATCTCCTTATGTTGCTCCACTGCCCTGTGGATTAGACCTTTAGGTCAATGGTTCGGGGTGTGGCCCCCCGAAGAAAACCACCTGCTTCGGTTTCGGCACCCGGGCAGTATCCCAGCTCTTACACAAATCAAATGATTTATGTGGCGCATATCTATTTGGTGCCTCTGTACTAATGTTTATGTGTTTAAATAAATAAACAAATACTGATAAATGGTTGTGTAGTTTAGTTTATTTGAACTAGTCTTACATTTTATGTACGTTGATAATCACTTTAAATGTCATTCATTCTACTAAAGTTGATAAAATCTTAATTTTTCATAAGGTTTCTCACTCATATTGTTGGGAATGACCTAATGAAAGTAAGATATTCTTGTCCTGAAACGAATGAGTAAATCTATTCTCTAATCATCCTTCAATAGATTTCGTTGTTGCACATAAATAACTGTAATAAAAGATTAAAACACTAGCATTATCGTGTATAAAATACTCAAAGCTACACGTGGTAAATTGTTATTTTTCATTTATTGGGATCTTACTTCAAGCTTGTCACAATTAGTTATGATTATATGTCTAAAGTGATATTTAAAAAAATCATTACATTGGGCAGTAATAGGACTGAATGCTTCTTAGTGTGATAGCTGCTCGAACACTTCTCCCTGACAATCCTTATTGTCTGATAACCTCACATTCTTACATGTATTAAGTTTCATTGTGAGGGTTAAGTATTTCATATATTGAACTTATTTGACTATACCGTTCATTATGGATTCTGTTTCTCACCATGACTCAGTAGTAATTTGAGGATTTAAATACATTCAAGTAGTTATTATCGCGAGATATTCTTTGGAAATTAACCATGTATTAAGTTAACCAATATATTAGTCTGATAATTTCGTTATGTTTACATTCTTTATAGGTCCGATGCCGATTTCAGTGGATAGAGAACGCCGTGCTAACGCCGGAGCCCGGATGGCTCGGTTGTTGAATGAAGAGGAGGAGGATGAATTCTATTCCAATATTTATGGTGGATTTGCAGAAGTACTGTTCGTGTTTTATTATTTATCTAATATTTATTTCTCATGCTTTTTTAGATTAAGTGCGTTGCTTAATCATCACTCGTGAAACCGATTATTATCATCATATATTAAAGGTCATTTAAGGTTATTAGTCTATACATAGTATATGAAAAATATCAGGAACGAAGCATTGTTTTCGAAGATACCAATGACAATGTTTGTAAAATGGATACTAATTATTATCATACTGTCCGGTTCTCATTGAGGATTGTATTCTACTCTTCATTTTCTCATTGGATGTTTTTAAGACATGTTTTCTTCCTAAAAACCACTCAGTTTGAAGTTCGGACCTTTTTAGATGTTTCATTTTCCAACTTAATTACTGCTAAGTAATCGGGGCATCATAGTTTATTCCTTAATCGACAGTATTTGTTCAGCTTCATAATGTTGGACAGTAATTTATGTGCGTTTCGGCAGTCACTTTATCTGCGTAACCCTACCAATCAAACTTATTCACAACTTAAATATCTCCCTAGTATATGTGGCTATAGCCGTTAATGACTTTTGTTCGAACCTGAAGGGGTTTAATTATGTCTACAAACACGTCTTATTGACAAATTCTAAAAAGTTTTGGAACCGATATCCGTTCGATTCCTAATAGCTCAAATTAGTGAGATGCTTACTTATTACAAATTTGTTCGCATTTTCCAGATTCTTGGGGATAAGGAATGTAACTCTCATATTGATACAACTTTGACATTGCGAAAAATCACTTGCGATGTTGGTTGTTGGTAATACCTAGTAGTGAACTTCCATATACTCTCCCACTGTTTGCTGCTCGTTTTTCTGGATATGCATCTTATAATACTATATTCAAGTGCGAATTCAACAGATATCGTAGAGTTTATTTGATTATTTGCTTTGGGATCAGCGGGATAAATCCTCGTACACTGTCACAGACTTTTGTATTTGAACATCTTTTTTGTGGAAATCTCGCAACTAATCAACGAAATCATATATATATATATATCCACTTCAAAGTCTCATGTTTTATATGTGTTTATAGTGTTTTAACTAGACGATAAGCTGTACATTCATACATATAATGAATAAACTTCAGATAAGGAGAACACTTCTTACATGCGCCTGTCATGCGCCTTTGTGTTATAATATTGAATTCGTCCCAGAAAAACAAGTCTATTAATTGAAAAGATCATAGTTATGAATCTTTTTATAAAAGTGGGATGATTGTCATAATTTTTTCTCCCATTTAATTCCTCTTTTAGGAAGAAGAAGATGCCGATTATCAATCAGAAAGTTCAGTTGAAGATGTAATTGACTCTGATTTCGCTGATGAAAGCAGTGGATCTGATGAAGATGACGCAACAGCAATAGCATCGGACGATGATGAGAACAAACGCCAAAAGCGTCAATCTAATCGTGTTGTTACAAAAGGTTACAAAGTAGGAATATCTCCCTTTTTTGAAAATTGTGTCAACTTTTCTTTTAATTATAGGTTTTCCATGCAACTGTTCATTTTGAATGAAGTAAACTCAATTAAAAAACGATGAATTTTCACATAACACGTCAAGCTAACCATGTATTCTCTTGTATACAGTTACATTCACGTTGCTAAAAATAAGTCGTTTTGAAAAAGGACTGAAAATATTAGCATACTTTAAAAATGTGTAGAACTACTAACAGTATTTGTAATACTTAGTATTAACGCTAAGATGCAGGTGCACCCAGCTGAGTCTCAAATAGGATGGAACTCATTTCCTGCGTTTCAATGCTACTCAAAATCCATCTATTCTAAATAACTTATGTCATGATGTTAATATCAAAGCAATCCACACAGGATGCACATATTGATAAAAAATTAGTCAGAATTCAGTCCATAAAATTAATAAGATAACTCAAACCCCTATGTAGCATGCACGATAAAGAATTCAAAAAATAAAATAAAATAACAGAATGAAAGGTAGGAACCTACATTAACAGTGAAGGTAGGGCCTTTTTTGTTGATTAATGTTTTCATGTTGTTGCACAATAAGATGTATAAATTTCTAAAATGATTTATGCCTTAAAATTTATTAATTTTACATTTATTCGATAATAATCTATTTCTTTTTACCACAGGAACCTAAACGTGCTAAAATTACTCGTCCTCAAGAAAATAAATTACCTGATAAGAAGGCTAATAGTGATAAAAGTTTAACTGATTCTCAGAGTAAATCTACCGTACAGATTAAAGATAAGCAACAACAGATAACAATAACAAAGAAAACTTCAGGGCAAATTTCAACTTATGGTAAGTCGATTATCTGATTTTCTTTGAGTTGGACATTGTACATATGCAGTGTGGGTGATTATATTTTCACTTAACTTGTTGTTTATCAGCAATGATTAACAATGTTATTTCAAAATAGAAATATCATAAGAATAAGGTTAGGAATAAACTATTAAGTGGTTCACATGCATATATTATTAGAAGGGAACTGTTACAAGTAATGATAATATTAGGTTTCATTTCATTTCGATTCAGCTGAATATCTCTTATTTCAATGTATACAATTATTGGATAATGAGTTATAATGTATCCAATCTGGTGTAGACCAGTTAATACTGTACATAGCCATGAAAATGTATGTAACACGTGTAACTTTAGACTGTTATTTTGGCGTCGTGTCGATGGAAACCCAACTCAGTAATGCAGGTTGCTTGTAAATAATGTGTAATTGTTGTTGTAAGTGGTTTACGCTGTGATTGGTGACCGAGTGTGACACTGTAATGCTGATTTGATGGGTAGTATGTTTCCAATCTATGTTTGTTCAGAACCACTAGCATCTGCAAGTCATGAAGGATTCGCATAGATGACTTATTTTTTCTGGTATATTATAATCTCCTGACAAAAGAAGTATTTTATAAGCTATGACGTATTGTTTGCAAATCCTATATATATATATATACGTATATTTTAGAACGACCAGAATTACGGGCAAGCACATTACAAGCTACAGCTGATCAAGAAGCCGAAACCACGCGTAGACGAATAGCCACTGCTGAGAATACAGCTGTTCGCCGTAAAGCGTTACTAGCCGAAATCGCTCAGCGCAAAAATCTTCCGGAAGTTCGGCGTTTAACTCAAGAAGAATTGTTGGCTGAGGCAAAAATCACGGAAGAAATTAATCGTCGTTCTTTAGGTGAGCTGATTTCATAATGTTTGTAGAATTTGTTTTATTTTTCGTCCTGAACATATAACATTTTCTGTAACGTCAGTGGAGGGTGGTAGCTAATTTAAAGATACTTTCTGACCAGTTAACGAAATGTGTATTTTACGATATACAACTATGCTTTATTGTTGTTACTAGATTGTTTTAATTATATCCGAAAGTATTTGGTTATTATTTTAGTGATTATAATAATTGTGGGTAAATATACGCATAAAAAGCATGGTGTTAGTTATCTATACATATTATATTTTTAATTATGAGAGTGTTTATTCACCAGTTGCTTATTTGTTATTGCTTTCAATTCCAGCTCGATATCAACGCCTAGAAATTGAAAAGAAAAAAGCACGCATTCAGAAAACGGTCAATTCCACTCCAATGATTCGTTATCATTCATTTACTGTTCCAATTATCGAGGAACAGCACAATATATACGGAGTGTTAGCTAGTAATGATGATGAGTAAGTTTTACTAGTGGGTGAAATTTTGTTTAGTATGTTACAAATATATCTCAGATTATCTTAGAACAAATTTTTTATATCGTTTGGATCACACTTGAAATGAAATCTATATGAGAATTATTTTAAAATTGGGCTATCTAGAATATATGAAACAAAAATAAAGTCTTATGGCTTTTTGATTTAGCATCGATTTAACTAACTTTCAGGGGGTTTATTTTCGTATCACCTGGATATGTATATGTACACATTTGTCAAATTTAGTGTTGTCCATTTTCCCAAGCTAGACGTGTTTTTGTCGAGTATATTTTCTCCGTTATGTTTAAAATCAATATATATGTAGCATGGGCACTTGCCTTTAGGTTATTGAGAAATAGATTCCTATCCATTAGGTAATGCAGTCCTGTAAATTATGTGAAAAAGACATTAATATTGCGTCCGGTTTCAAACCCTATATGCTGGTCTACTGCATTGTCTTTCCGAATCATATAATTTTTCAGATTTTTATTCTTTATTGCTCATCGAGTTTTTCAGAATTGCATAACTGTCCTAGACCGAAGTACACTACTGAGGGTGATTTCAATCTTATCTCTAAATGGTCGGTTAGAGTTTTATCGTACAAGATTTTGGGATTAAGTGTATAACTGATATTCTGTGCAATTACGAGCTCTTCGAATTGTAGGCTTTTACATAAGTCGGGTCGTTTTTAGTACCATTTTTCTTTTTAAATACTGAACAGGCTCAACATGATATATCTAAAAATATAGAGTGGTATCATCTTTCAGTTTTATTTTTAAGTCATAGTTACGGAGTGTTTGAGATCCCATTTAGAGCCGATATCTGTTGAAAAACACCAACTCAATACAGCTGACTGTCATAACCAGGTATCACTTTATAAACCTACAATTTCTCCTGTAACCAAACTCACTATCGGTAAATAAGCTGCCTAACATTGATACTATTTGTGTGATATTTCTGTCAAACACAAAGTTTGATACCGAAACAACTAGGATAAAAGCAAGAAAGTAGAAATAAGATATTCCTAACCCACAAAGGTCGCGTTTTTCAGGTATTGAGTTGAAGGTTCAGACTTATACCATATGTTCTTTGGTTTGGGTAGTTCGGTGGTATCGTTAATAACCCCATAGAAAGTTTAATTGGAAGTAGAAACCTAATCTTGATTATCGAATCACACCAAACTATTAAAAACAATAAGAAAATCAACAGTGACCTTGTTAACTTCTAAATAAATCACATATTTCTGTATTTTACTAACTTTTTACTCTATGAATATATATGTGGTTTATAATGACTCAAATATTCTAAACGTAGACTTGCTAGCGTATGTAATAAAAGTTTTGTTTCCAGTGATTTTATTTGTGCTTAACCTAAGATTGTAGTTTCATCCAATTTCTAAAATATTTCTGATTTATAGGTCATCTATTCGAGCTGGTCCGATAATTACAGATCATTCAGCCAAATGTTCAAGAAATCTAATAACATTTGCTAATGATGCATGTTTTCGTGATTCAATGCCTGAAACAGTCACTCCACTTCCAGAACCTGGTTGCCCTGCTCCTACTCCTATACGTCCAGAGCGTCGTTTACGTATATGTCCAATTACTGGTTTACCAGCACGTTATTTAGATCCATTAACTTTAACACCATATGCTAATTTAGCCGCATTTCGTGTACTTCGACGCTTATATTCCATACATTTAGAAACAAAAAAACCACCAATAGAATTGTTACGTGAATATCGGCATGGTCGTTAACATTTTGTCTACTTTCGTATACATTAATTAAAACTAGATGATGTTGTATATATTGTGTTAGCAATTTAAAGATTTCTTGATTTTAAAAACATGCTTTAATCCAATCTGTACATCACTAACAAGTCCCTATACATGTACATGATCATCTTTAACTTATTCATATGTTTATTTTTAAGAGGATATTCTTATACATGCTCATTTACAAATCAATGTTTCAACATTCATGTTTGCGTTATTCCTTAGCTGTAAATGTACCTTACTAATCAACATGTTTCGCATACTTGTATTGTTTATTGTCAAAGGTATACTCGTACAAGTGGCACTGTTGTCCTTCAGGAGATCCTTTACTGAATGGTCACGCTTGATGAACATGCTAGTGAGATAGAATATATTCTGAATACGTAACTAAAATGTTTGTAAATACTTGAAGTATGTTTTCCTCCCATAAAGTTTAGAGCTAGCCTACACAATAGGTCTCCTATAGCAGCTTGGAATGTTTTGGTGCACTGTGTCACAGATCGTCAGACCAATTTTCACAAGCTGGTAATCCATGACATTTCTGTACACATACGCCTGTTACCCCTCATGGAGGAGCATAGACGATCCACCAGCATTCTCCATCCTACTCTGTCCTGGGCAATTCCTTCCAGTTGCTATTCACCCTTCTGATGTCTGCTTCCGGTTCCCAGCGCAGTTTGTTCTTTTCCCTTCAGGGTTCCAAGTTAGCGCTTGTCTTGTGATGCAGTTCGATGGTTTCCGCAATGCATGCTCTATCCACTTCCAATGTCTTTTCCTAATTTCCTCTTCAGCTGGAAGCTGGTTTGTCCTGTCCCACAGTAGGCTGTTGCTGATGTTATCCAGCCAACAGGTGTTGAGCGTCTTGAGTAGACAGTTGTTTATAATTACTTGCTCCTTTTTGATGATGGTTGTGATAGTTCTCCAAGTCTCAGCTCCTTACAGTGGAACTGTCTTGACTTTCGTATTAAAGATTTTGACTTTGATATCGGTTGACAGTTGTTTTGAGTTCCACATGTTTTTCAACTGTAGGGATGCTGTCCTTGCTTTGCCAATCCTTACCTATACGTCTGTATTAGGTCCTCCTTGTTCATCGGTGATGCTGCTGACCAGGTACGTGAACGCTTCCACATCTTCTAGAGTTTCTCCATCAAGTGCGATTGGGTTGATGTTCTCCGTGTTGTATTTGAGGGTCTTTCTTCTCCCTTTGTGTATGTTGAAACCTACTAATGCAGAGGTTGCTGCTACACTAGTTGTCTTGGCCTGCATTTATTCGTGTGTATGGGATAGAAGGACCAGGTCGTCTGCGAAGTCCGAATCTTCTAATTGATTCCGAGCTGTCCGTTTTATTCCGTGCATTCCCTCAGATGTCGAGGCCTTCATAATCCAGTCGATTACCAGAAGAAAGAGGAAGGAGGAGAGTAGGCAGCCTTGTCTGACACCGTTCCTCACTTGGAATGAGTCTGTCACTTGTCCTTCATGCATGACTTTGAACTGTAGTCCGTCGTATGAATTCCGCATAGTGCTGACGATCTGAGCTACTCACACAGTTTCGAGGAAGGTTGCATAAGGTCCTCCTGTCCACACTGTCAGACGCTTTCTCATAGTCAAGGTCGATGATTTATAGTGGCGAGTTCCATCCAATTGATTGTTCAACGATTATCCGTAGTGTGGCGATTTGATCTGTGTATGGCCGATCTTTATGGAATTCACTCTGTTGATCTCGAAGCTGGACATCTACTGAATCTTTCACCTGGCTCAGCAATACTGTGTTGAAAACTCTTCCTGATACCGATAGTATGACGCCTCTGTAGTTAGTTCTCACACTTGCTCAGATCTCTCTTCCTTGGTATATTGATGAGATATCATTCTTCCCAATCTGTCGGGACTTGTTTTTCCTCTCAAATGTCTTTAAAGAATGTGTAGAACATCTTTCCGGTTACCTCAGTGTCTGATTTCAGTGCTGCGGTTTGTATATTGTCAGATCTTGCTGCCTTTCCACTCTTGATTCGTCTGATGGCCATGCTGATTTCTTCGATCGTTGGTATTGACAGCTATAGGAATGTCTATGTGTTCTGCTTCGGTGTCCGATGGATTGAATGGAGCTGACTTAAGAGTTCCTAGAAGTATTCCACCCATGTGTTCCTCTGTTCTTCAATCTCAGTGGTTGGATTGCCTTCTTTACCATTGGCCTTTCTCTTTGGTTTACTATATTTCTCTACCAGTTTCTTCGTCATGTCATATGGTTGATTCATATTTCCTTCTCTTGCAGCTTTTTCCGCTGCCGTCTCTAGCTCTTCCACGTATTTCTGCTTGTCAGCTCTAATGCTCTTTACTTGTTTGTTCGCCTCTGTGTATTCGGCTTGTGCCTTGGCTTTCTCTGTTCTTGTTCGGCTGTTGTTAATTGCTGTTTTCTTGAATCTTGTCTAGGGTTTCGATGGAGATCCATTCCTTATGATGCTTCTTGCGGCCCAGTACCTCCTGACACGTTGAAGTTAATGCTTCTTTGATCCCTTTCCAATTGTCCTCCATAGTAGTTTCCTCTTCTGTGAGATCTTGTAAGGCTTAGAACCTGTTATCGGGAGTTATCTTGAATTCGTTAAGTTTGTCATTGTCATGATAGAAGGCTATATTGAACTCTTGTAATGCTATTTATCCAGTTGTCCAATGCTTCTTGAGCTTCATCTTCATCTTGCTAATCACCGGATGGTGATCTGAAGCTATATCAGCCACTTTCCTGGTTTATGGGGGAATATCGTGCCACCGAAAATCATTTTGTTGAAGGAACATAAAATTGCAAATATCTCCTCATTCTCATTCCAATATCCCAGTCAATCCATGTCGTCCCATGATATGTTTATACGTGGTATTATCCATTCCAACTTTGGCGTTCAGATCTATCAGGATAGTCAGGTCCTTTTCTGAGCACTTCGCTACGATAGATTGAAGCCTCTCATTGAACTGATCGTTATTATCGTCGTTTTTATCATTGGTGGGTGCATAACATTGGATAACATACATTGTGATTCCCTCCTTTGTTTTGAAGGATCCTTTTGTGATTTTCGATCCATGGGATTCCCATCCTATAAGTGCTATACGTGCTTCTTTGGACGGCATCAGAGCAACTCCCTGAGTGTGTTAAACATTTTCCCTTTCTTGACCAGAGTACAGTGACATCTCTCCCGAATCTATCATTTTCTGTCTAGCTTGGGTTCAATGAGTCTCACTGATTCTGTAGCTATTTGACTAGTCCTCCCGGTCTCATAGATTGTCCGAACATTCCATGTACCTGTATTAATTCTTGCTCTAGTTGTTAGAAAGTACATCAGCCTAGTGACTTCGAATAATATCGGCTTTCATCATGAGGCGTCATAATCCTTACTTGAACTCGGAGGGAAGAATTTAAATGGTTTAATTTGTTTATTCTGGTTAGCGTTTTTTGACCAAGGTTGTTTTCTACGGGATAAAGTTGTTGACCCCATGTTCAACCCTCCTTCTTTACTTGGGCTTAGGACCTGCAGTAATTGTAGAAGAGCTACAGGCTGAGTTACACATACAAAAGGCATATCACTTTTCAACCCAACTTACGGCTTCTGAGACTTATTCTCATACTTATCGAATGATTTATACACCTTTAAGAAATTTACTGTTCACTTCTGTGACTGTGGGACGTGGGCGTTTACGGTACTGGATATATGTAAATTTTAGATATTCAGTTACAAATATCCTCAGAATATTTCGAAAGGGTTCGTTCATTATTCTGCAAATTTTAAACATAATAAATTCGCATGTATTTATATCCTGCTCGGTGATTTCATAGTCTTTATTCACCGTGAATTTCTGCCTTTTTGATTCTGTCATTCTCCGCTGTTACAATTTTTATCGGATTTAGACAGTAATATATTTTTAGAGTTTTTATTTGTCTGTATTGGCCCGGTTATGCAACTGTTTGGAAAAGACATTCCTTTCTCAGCGTTTAGACCTTGGCTCTGTTAAACCAACAGACCTATCTGGTTAGGACTTTGCGAAATCTCCTTGTTATTATTTTCTGCATCTAGCAAAACCGTATTTTAGATCATATTGATGATTTAATCAAATTAATAAATAACTCATATGAGACATTTGATCTTTTTTTGTCACTGGCTATGTTTCAACGGACTGCAATTCAGATGTGCAGGTAATGATGTGTAACTCCACAGTCAATAACCTCAACCATATGAGTGTTCTAGCTTGGGACGTGTGTACACATCTCGGACAACCAAGTGAAGAACGGGATCATCTCTAATCAGTATAAATTCATTATTGGTAGACTGGATAACGATGATTGCTCTACATATCACATCATTTCCTTTATCTGTCAACAAAATTTAGCACAGTCATCACCAAGTTACTATCGGACACTCCCTCTGTATATAAAACATGTACCATAGAAAACCAGTGCGTGCAGAAGTGTTGCTTCCTTCAGGGAGCCTACTTAGAACATGGTTATATCTCAGTTTTTGAAATCCATCTTTTACAGTGGCAAGTAAGACTGTTTTCCTAACGGATTGATTGAAACAAAGTTGCTTAATCCTGAAATGAAATGAAATTAAACTGTTTTTGAGTTCGGCCGTCAAATGAATGGAAAATGATGACAGTATGGTATGACAGTTTGGTACCTAGGGAAAGATATATTTGTTGATTACCATCTTAATGTTCGAGGATGTGGGAATTTAAAAGGCTTCAACATTTCGTTAAATAGATGTTTAAGCATGCCATATACATGACATTAATAGATCCGACTATTTAAGCTCAAAATAGTCTTAAGTAATAAGATTTACCTTTTTTGGATTTCATTAAAATATTGTCTAGCAACATTGTATTCAAAACAACCTATGAAAAACATCCCGTAGGTTGATGAAACATCAACAACGTAGTTGGATAACCTATGACGTAACCTTTGAAAAATGTCGATCAATTTATCTATAGATATTAATTGGGAAATA